CCGGTTGGGCCCGAGCGCGCGGCCGCGCTCCGCCCATCCGGGGACGGGCCCGGGTCAGCTGACGGCGGGGCGCCCCGGCGGCAAACGCAGTAGCCACGGCAACGGCATGTACAACGGCTCTCTCTCGCACCGACCGCCGTTCGTGTGCGTTCGTGCGCGCGCGTCACCGATTGTCGTGTCACGTCGGAGGGGCCGTCGCGCCGCCGTCGTGAGACCGCGCCACCGTCGGCCGCCGTCGTCATCCGTCGCTGTCGTCGTCTCGCCGCGCGCGCCGACGTAAATGGATACATTATCGCGACATTATCGCCGTGCCGAACACCTACGGCCACCCCGCCCGCCCACCCGGGCGACCGACGACGCGTCTTCGCCCGAAAACAATCCATTTGCCAAATTGATTTCCAAAGGCCCTTTGCCCCTTTGCGATTCATACTTCCACACCACGCAATCCATCGCCCCGATGATGGCACCCGCGGTATACCTATATACCTACTCGATAGTCAATCTGTATACAAATCTATGTATTATTATAAGGTATTATATGATGATAATATATAGTATTGGTATACACCACACCTACCTATATGCACTAAATTTCCTCGATATATGTAGATACATACCACGATTATTGAATGATGCATCTACCTGCTGCAGTATGTGCACACTTTATTATATTATACAGGTGCAAGTCGTCAGCGATGCACTGCTCGCAGCAGGTTATATTTATATTTTATACTTAATACTTAATGTATATACATCTATGTGGGTTCAGAGAGCTCTGCTGCAGGCTGCACCTCTCAAAAACACCCCTGCAATATTTTTTTGTTTCTTCCACTTAAACTAAGGATATTTTCGTTTCACCCTGATCCTATATATTATGTGCTTACGAGTACGCAGCTGTATACGATTGATTTCTGCACTTATTATATTATAGTGGTATACGTTTTGTTTCAATACACATATATATATATATAGGTACATATACACGTACTGCAAAAATCAGTTATCATAGTATATAATATAAAATTTTTGTTATTCAGTAGTTCATAATATACATTATATTAAATGTATAGTCATAAATAGTGTATTATTATACCCACATACCTACAACTAATATTGTTACAGGGACAGCAACCCCGATTTTCAATTCTACCTTCTGACTTCTACTGTAGTCTGCAAAACGGGTATCCTATATATATTGGCTATATATACTAGTCATCTATGTACATATTTTTTTTTGTATTGATCAATTCGCTTCAACAAAAAACCAGGTATTATTAGCGTAAAGTGTGTTTACATTTTTCTTAGTTAGAAATTTGTTTTTTTAAATATATTACTAAATTAGTTTGTAAATGTTATATATTATGCGTGCTAACAGTGGAATATTCACGCAATACTGCAAATGAAAACGGTTGGACGGAATTCACACGTATATAATATATATATACTTATACCGACATACACGTCATTTATAGAGGTATATTCATACTTGCATTGTATCGGACAATAATGATTTATACCTATACATTGTATAATAATATGTATATATTTAGGTATAACATCCGGTACCTTAAATGTGTAAGGTATACAGTGCACTTGCATGCTATTATGTTTGTTTACCTATATTATAGCTATACATAGATAGCTGGTATTAGGTATGTATAGGTACCTATACTTATACAAAAAGTCAAGGCTAGGCATAAACGAGTTAACACAACATATTAAAATTAAGTTAAAATTATAACTAAATCTAATAATAATAGTGCTTATCTATACATATTTATATAATATGTATCGCTATACTATTTTTGGTAATAATTTTTAATACCTTATACGACGTGTTAACTACTCTAGTTAATTTTACATGGAAGTATTAACATAAGTTTTATTTTTACATAAACTTGCAGGGCTCTGCACCTAAAATAATAATGACTTCATTGGCGGTATATATTTCTGGTTTTCAAAGTTAAATCGGGTGTTTACAACCGGTATTATTGATATTGTAAATAATATTTAGTATATTATAGTTTTTAGTATTACGGACTATAGCTACATTTTCACCCTGGTATTGGGTGTTTTAAAGGCATATATATTATAACTAAATAATATCAGTGGTAATGTTTTTCGTACAGATGGAAGGTCAAATTTCATCTTTAAATTTGGTCACTATTGTAAATTGTAACTGAACGAAGCTAAAACATATGGGTGCGTATAATAACATTGATTATAAGGATTATAGTATATTATACTCAATGATAATATATATAATTAACTTTTAAGTTTGTATGAATTGTATTAGTTTCAAACCACATCTACCTTTCATATATTTTATAAAAACAAATCATTTTTTTAAAAACTCGTGTATTCCTATAGGAAATAATATGTCGATATGGCTGTATATTATAGTATTGCTGTGATGAAAGAATCGACCCGTATCTCATCCCTGCAGATAGAAGGATTTCCACGGTGTGCCTATTATACCTATACTATATTTTAATGCTATTGGAAAATATAGAAAAAAATCGAAACCAGTATATTATTGTATGCAGAGTAAAACGTATATTATGTTGAATATACATATAAGGTAGGACCAACTACGTGATAGGCGCGGGGTGGAGAATTTGAAAATCAATATATTTACCACTCATATATCTATATTATTTTATATAGCTAGGTATATTCCAAGAAAAAGAGGTGTTATATATCACGCTGTATACTTAGTTGTCTATATACAATATGTATGTATGCATAGGCAAAAACAGACTCAGTATATCGAGGCATAAAATAGTCGCGGTGTGAAGGATATTTTATACATAATATTATACTATTATATTTTTATTACTGAAATCTTATATTTATTTCACAAATAATGTGCAGGTACGAAAGTAATATGATATAGTTTTAGACTTCTAAGCATAATTTTAGGGCCCCTTATAAAGTTTTATCACCGTTTTGTCCGTCCGTTAGTTATGTGCAGTGCACAGTTACGATATGCTATTGTTGGTTGTAAGGTATTTAGGCCGTAGATTTATTACCACATAAAGTATTAAATATTATTAGTATTATTATAATCTAGCCAGTAGTAACAATTATCAACATTTGAGTACCTATTTATAATATATTATATTATTAAATAACATTAGCCAATATTAAAAACATTGGTACCAAATTATAGTTTTTAATTTGATTTTTAGTTTATTTCAATGTCTTAAAATACAATTAGAAACTAGGAATTTACGCTGGTAGAGTGTTGTACTGTTTATCCATATGATGATTATATAATGTGGTTTTCAATAATCTTGCAAAGCAAAAGAGCTATTATAAATTATAAGTATTTGTTAGTGAGTCTTGTTGTAGCCCTTGTGATATACCTCGTTGCGCTTCCTTACTTATCTTCATAATATAATACCGCATAAAAAAAAAGTTGATAAATTGGTTGATTAATAATCAATATATACATATTATTGAAGGTTAATATATTCTGTTGAAATTCAATTGGTACAGAACAAAAATGGAAATCGAAGACATTATCACTATTATTATGATTCGGATGGCAGGACTCTACTGCTGCACCGGGCGACGATGATAAATCCAACGGAATTATCGCCGAGCGTCCAACTGCATACGCGCAACGCTATCTGTGAGCGTACGCCGCATAACTCGGACGCGATCGACGTGTGCGATCCGAGTGCGCCACTTTCAGCGACCGGATATAATATTATTATTATTAAAATGCGGCAAGCATAGAACTTTTACGTTTTTTTCGAGAAAACTTAAGTTGAGATTTTGGGATATTATAATATCGTCTGCACTCTATAGAACTCTCTAGAACACAAAAAAATAAAACTGCAGAGAACGGTCCCGTGGCGATCTTTATTAATATTATCATATAGTTGTCAATTGAGGAGACTTAGCCCCCCCCCCCCCACCAAAGGGAAAATAATGTTTGGTCTTACACAGCGTGAAAATGTTTAGATTCTCACTTTAATGGTTTGAAACTCGGCACATAGGTAATAACTTGGTAGAGGTGGTGCACCACAAAGCCAATTTTAAAATGTTGCATTTTATTTTAATGAAAACCACAAGCGGCGATTTTCTGGCGAATATTTTTTGTTGTTTTTGTATATGGGGGTGACATTGATTGCAGAAAATAAAATATTTATTATAATTTGATTATTCTATATTAATTAGTCAAAACCACCCTGTGCAAATGACTGCGTTAAAGATATATGTGAAGTTTACATATGCACCTTATCGGAGCATAAGACATGATGGTAAATCCCGGGGCATTATATTTAATTTGTCACGGACAACGCTGGGCAGGAGATCAGCTATGGCTTGAATAGTATATATTATAAATTACCTGACATATGACATGATAAATAACCGGACGCGCGATATGATGCGTAACGATAGTATAATAATAATAATATATAATATGTACAACAATATTATATACCTGCACTCAATTATTGTATCATTCGCAGAAGACTACCAACTCGCTGCTCCAGGCTCCGTCAAGTATGTTTATATGAATCGTATATGCTGGAGGTTAGGCGTATTACTTGTTATTATTATTATTACTATGTACGCATCTCGCTCTGTACCACAGCATCCGAAAACCGTTGAGAAAAAAAAGAAACTGGTACACGTCGTCGTGCACTTCAAAATTATACCCATACACGCCGCGGGGCAGCTGTATCGCAGTCCACGCGAGCCCCGGACCCGATATTCTACATAGTACATACATATATACACGCGTAGGTACATGATATCGCGTACAT